GAGGCAGAGGCTGAGGCTGATGCAGAGGCGGAGGGGGAGGGGGAGGAGAAGCCGCTGCTTCTTCCGGGGATCAACACGCTGGCTGCCAACACAGCGCTTGGCAGCGAGGTGAGGGGCTGGACCGGGTCGAGAGGCGGGCCGGGCTTGCAGACGCGGGGCCGAGGCCGGGTACGTGTGCGCGCTTCATGCCCCAGCCTGCCACATCCAGCCCTGCCCCAACGCCGCCGGCACAACCCACTCTCCGAACCTACCCCACACCCCGTGCACTCACACCTGCTGCGCAGCAAGTGTTCCACGGGGGCGTGCGCCTGGCTTTCGACGCCGCCGGCGCCGCTGTTGTCACCGGCGTGCACACCGAGGCGGCGCAGCGCGTGCTGCGCATGTGGCCGGTCCTGCAGGTGCGCAGCAGCTTCCCGGAAGGTGGCCGCCCCGGCGGATGGGCAGGCGCAGCCTGGGCCGCCGCCAGCTGCCCCGGGCGCACAGCCAGGCTCAGGCCTTCTTCTGCCACGCCTCTGCCCGGCGAGGCCTTTGCCTCCCGCTCCGCTCATGGCGCACCTCGCGGCTGCTCGGAGCTGCCGCCGCTGCGCGCGCCCGCGTTCCGCCCCGTGCTGAGCAAGCAGCACGGGCACGCTTCACCCCTCCCGCTGCAGGCCGATGAGGTGAAGGCGGGGCGCTGGAGCAGCGCGCCCTTGGAGGAGCACGAGCGATACTTCCTGGCCCGCATGCTGCAGCAGGTGAAGGTCGAGGGTTTCTTTTGGGCGAAACGTCTGGCGCCAGCAGCGACAGCGGGCCCAGCTCCAACAGCAGCCTGCTGCTGAGCACAAGCCGGTGCTTCGTTTGTGGGAGGAGGAGCAGCCCCAGCAGCGCCAGCAGCAGCGGCAGCCGTGTGCACTGGCCCCGGCTTGAATCAGATCCCCGCCCGCCTCCCTCACCCCGCCCCTGCCCTGCCCCCCCTGCCGTGCCTGCAGCTGGGACCGATGCTGCTGGGGCAGGGCCTGAGGGAGGTCTATCCTGCCGGTGAGCCTCCGCCGCCGCCGCACCGCTCCTGCCACCACCCCTCCACCGTCACACTGCCGTCGCGCAGCCCTTCCACCCGCTCCCTGTCCCTGGCACACGCACCAGCCAGCTCTTCCACCCGCCCCTTGCCCCCTGCTCTGCCACCCAGACCTGGTGATCCCTCGCCGCTTCCGGCCCACCGACGACGGCGGCACGCCGCTGGACGGCCCCATGACCGCCTCGGGTGAGCCCGGGGCCAAGCCATTGTCCTCCCTGGTCGATTCGGTTTTTCCTGTTCGGGGTGGGTTGCCTTCTTATTTCGAACCCTCGTCGATCGTCCGCTGGCGCTACCGCCGGCGCTGCGCCCCGCTCCCCCACCCACCCCGCCGCCACCACCCCTCCGGCTGCAGACCGGTCTTTCTTCCTGGGCCGGCAGTACTTCATGCACCCGTGCAACCAGCCTTCCGGCGGGCGGTGGGTGTGGATGGCGAGGTGCCGCGGGCGGCGCGGCGCGGCACGGCCTGAGCGCTGCGGCCGGCGGCGGGCCTCGCGCGACGCTTTTCAGCACCGGCATTACACGGTGCGCTGCTTCGTCACTGTTCATGCTTCATCACTGTTTATTGGATTCTCATACATGCAAAACATGTTTTTTTTCTGAGAAGGCTATGAACACACTCTGGTTGAAGTGTACCTGGTAAAGAGAGGGGCTAGCACGTGCTAGGCTCAGCTCTGGGCGGGAGGTCGAATGTGACATGAAAGGCGGGTAGTAAGGAGCGGGGCGGAGGGGGCCCAGTGCTCGGCGCCCTGCTGCGCGGCTGGGCGGCCATGGCAATGGCGGCAGGGGCGGCTGTTGCATGGTACCAGCTGAGTAGAGTAGCAATAGAA